TTCAAAATTTGTCTATAAAGTCTTTCATATTCTATGGACAAAAATCACTCCATCACTAGATACCCAAGATACTCTTTGTCATAATATGGGAAACATCTTCTGGATTTTGTTTTGTTTTCTAAAATACATAATAGTTCTGCAATATCACATACTTGTTGTGTTCTAGAAACTATTTATTTAATAAATTTTTAGGTGATTTCAGCATCTATAAAACCCAAATATTTTATGGTATTTACCATTTTAATATTCACATTCATTTTGCATTCTAATATTTTGTTTGGATCTTTTTTGTCTGTTTTCTTGAATGAGATTGACTGATAATTGCTATCTTACACATCCCTTGTCAAATTTGCTTATTAAGCTTGTGTTAGGCCATAGTACAGATGGGGGTTCTACAGTATGCTGCCTAATAAACTGTCCAGCAACTTAGTGTCTTAAAACAGTAGACATTTATCATCTCCCAAAAAACTGAAAGGGAAATAGAGTTATAAAATAATATGGAAATGAGAGATTAAGTAAATTACCAAGGACTCTGCTAGGGGACATTGGCACAAGGTCTTTTCTGAGCTTGTGGACTTGTGCTGCCCACACACTCGTGGCCCAAAGCTTGTTTGGAGCCTGAGCGTCTCTTTGGACATGGTGCCTTCACGAAACTGTTGACAAAAGGCCTTTATTCCTTGCTGCCCCTGGCAATATGAGCTTCTCTATGTGTGAAGCTTTGTGCAGTGGCTGTACCAAGCCAATGAGGTTTATTTGAGGTGCAGTGATTGCTATTTGGAAACTTCTGTAAGTTCGACTGAGTATCTTCAGAGACAGCAGCTGACTTCTCCAGGAATATGAGAGTCTAGAATGTTTTTTAGTGCAGCAGCTCCTTGTTATTGGGGGATAAAATTCTGAGACTCCAGGGCATGCCAGAGGACAGAAATAGTACTGAACCCCATGTGTATGCACCAAGACACAGAGACCACAGATTCAGTCACCAGAAGGACTATGAGTGACCACTGGTGAGATGAGGACCAAGGTGAACTCACCAAGCAGAGGAGCCTCCGGGTGAAGGAGGCGGGAGAGTGTGAGACCTTACACCTGAGCTGGATCAGCGCGTGTTTAAAACTTGTGTATTTCAGCAACTTTCCATCTAATATTTGCAAACCACAGTTGACAGTGAGTGACTGAGAACTGAAAATAAAACCTTGGATGAGGGGAACTGCTGTTCCTTGATGATCTAACATTGTGTTCCTTATGCCAGTGCTTCATTGTGTCTTTGGTTTTCTGTGTTTTGTTTGCTGTTGGGGGGGCGCATATTTTGGGTTTTTTAGAAGGTCTCACTGGGTAGTTAAGGTTGGTCTTGAATTCACTATGAAGCCCAAGCTGGCCTCAAGTGCATGGGGATCCTCCTCCTCCGACTCCCATGTGCTGGGAGTACAGGGAGGCAGCTCCTTGTGCAGTTCTGTGTTTTGTCCATTAACAGCTAATCACTCACTCTCCTGTCTACCTACATTGAGACCAGTCTCCGCCTTCTGAAAACAGCAGTGTCAAAAGCTTTTCCAGGATGCGCCAGGATTACCAGAGAAATGCACACACTGAGGCACAGCTCTTATATTCTACAGAATAGATCATTAAGATCGGTATTACTTTTATATTTTGGGAGGATACAATTTTCTTTGATTAAGTATGTTCGATAATTAGGTTTATTTAAACATAATTAAGACTGTCGTGTAGGTTCAACAGAATGTTTGTGTTTCTAGAAACCTGTTTATGCCGTATAAAATTAAGCATCAATAGTACATTGTTTATAGATGTTGTCTTCAGGTTTGGGTATATAGAGAAGGGTCTCAATTTTACTTCTGTTTTTTCGGTTGCTTTCTGGGCTGCTGTCTGTACTTATTCTCTTTTTAAGTCTTAATTAATTAGTGGTTAATAGCAAAATTTTTGTCAAGATTTCCAACTATATTTACTTCTAAAAAAACATTTATTAATTGCACACACACACATGCCATGACGCACAGCATGACAATGTTTCATTTTTAAGTATAATCTGTGATGTCATTCTAGGAATTCCTGGAAATCCTCCTGGGATGGAAGCAGATCTGGCTTAATTCCACAGCCTTTAAGACTCCAGCTGTCATATTGCTGACTCTGCTTTTCATTGTTTTCTTAGGTTACTTAACCTAGTAAATTCAATGTAACCTAGTGATCTGTGTCTGTTTGCCTCACTTCTCTGCTGAGGGCAGGGAGCTCCCCAGTGATCTACAGCTCCTCGTGACTGGCCCTGTCTTCATTGTGAAGATGTGTAATGCTGTGAGAACAGAGTAACCCTCACATCCAGTTATGCCGGTATACTGTGCTTATGTCATCTCGTCATCTCTTTGCTAATTGCGATGATTTTGATGTATAGTGGGGAAAAATTTAAGACTTTTGCTTTCAATTGCTAGTTAGTTTAGTGAATGAGTTTAAAGAAAATTGTCTTAAAAACAAAATTTGACTATTACCTAATCAAAATACAATTATCAAGGGAAATGTAACATAATAGAATCTCATTGTTTGTTTAATTCCCAGTCCACTTGCGGATTGTGCCAAATTTCCCATATGATTTTAGCTCATTTTTCTCGAGCCAGGATCCAATCTGGGTTACTCTATGCATCTAGTTATCATGACTGCTCTGTCTCTTTAAATTTACAGTCCTTTCTCGGGTTCTGTGTGTTTTTTGCTGTGGTGCATTTATGTGCTGTTTAGCCATTTAAAGGTGAACAATGCAGAGACTTACAGTGGGCCAACTGTGTAGTGCAGCTGCTTAGGGTTATGGTTACGATTAGGCTTAGTGTTAGGGTTAAGGTTAGTGTTAGGGTTAAGGTTAGGGTTAGGATTAGAGTTTGGGTTCAGGTTTGTGTTAAGGTTAGTGTTAGGGTTAAGTTTTAGATTAGAGTTAGTGTTGGGGTGAGTGTAAGATACACTGTAGTTGGACCACTGTCTCCCTGGTGCTGTGTGGTGCTCTGGTCCTGCACTCTTGGTGCTGCAATGTCTTGATTGTTTATCAGGTTAAAGCTTGTTTAAGATGTTTTCTCACCTTGTAGCACAGTGGCAGAACCAGTTACTCTAACTACAATATCAGTAATAAGCGAAACACAAAATTTAAAGCAAAGCAATCCAATTAAACTGCAAAATCCAAAGTTTTATTGTTCTTTTAAGTAAATATTTTGAGGACCCGCTACATTCTTCTGCATATTGGCTGAGCACTTACATTGTTTTACATTCCCACTAGAGTGTGGAATATTTCAGTTTCTTCATATCCTCTTACTGCTGTATGTTATTTCTCTTTGTGTTTTTGGTTTTTTTAAAGCCATGTGTGTAGGCTTCAGATCACATCGTTTTGTGGTTTTATTTGCATTACCATCTATTTTGACACTTTTCATGTGCTTATTATCCATTTGTGTTTCTTAAAAGAAGTGTTTATTCAAGTACTTTGACCAAAAATAAACTGAGTACTTTTTCTGTTATTAAATTATAACAATTATATACTAGTTTCTTATTGGACATAATTTGTAAATATTTTTATTCTGTGAAATGACATCTTTTTTTTCATTTTTGTTTTGAGACAAATTCTCACTGTGTAGCCCAGGCTGTCCTCTCCCTTGTGGTGATCCTCCTGCCTCAGCTTCTTCAGTGCTCAGGTCACAGGCATATCCTGCCAAACCCCACTTCTTTTACTTCAGTTTTGTTTGAGGCATCAAAATTTTTAATTTGGATGAGAACATATTTATTTTGTTATTGTTGCTTGTGCTTTGGGGATCATAATAAGAAATTATTGTCAAATCAAATGTCAGAGTGATTTGCTTCTATTTTTAAAAAGTTATAGAACTTCAACTCCTACAGTTAGGTCGTTATTTGGTTTTGAATTAAGCTTTATATATAGTTTACATATTTGAGTTTATTTGATAATTGTTATTTGCAATTTTCTAAGGTTTCCTTGAAATATCTATACACTGGCAATCTAATGAAAAATCAGTTGATCATAAATGTATATTTCTGACTCTCATCTCTATGTTCTATATATTTTCCCTTATATTTGCACCACATTATTTTATGCTATAGCTTTCTTATATATTTTCAAATCAGGAAGTGTGTATCCTGTAGCTTTTCTTGACTTCTTCCCAAGTATTTTGGCTATTTGGTGCTTCTTGTGATTCAGTATGGCTCTCAGGATGAGCTCTTCCATCCAGCAAGGAAAAGAATTTGTAGCTTTTGTACAGATGAAATCGTATGTGTAGGTCCCTTAAAAGTGCCACATCTCAACAGTTATTTCTATTCATGAACACAAGGTTAAGATTTAAAAAAAAATCCTTTCAAAACATTTTGCACTGTTTAGTCTGCACTTTTTTGATAAAATTTACTCCCAAATATCTTAAATTTTAGATGCCTTAATTTCTTTTCTTTTCTTTTTTTTTCTTTTTTTTTTTTATGTTCTTTTTCCTTTTTATCAGTACTGGGGATCGAACTCACGACTGCCTGCTTGCAAGGCAGGCGCTTATGCCGCTGAGCTAAATCCCTAGCCCCAATGCCTTAATTTCTAATCATGTTATGATTTGGAAAGGCTTTCTTTTCTCTCTGGATTTATTTATTTGATTAGATTAATAGGATTTCAGTTACTTCCTCATAATTGTTAATTATTCTGATGCTCAAGCTGTTCCATATTTACCAAAGGAAACCCCTGTGAGTTTTTACATATCTCCATCGTTGTGAAGTTCTGTTTAATTTCTAAAACAAAGTATCCAATTGAGCCTTATATTGCCCTTTTTTTTTAGCGCAGTTCCAGAATGACTGTCCTTCATGTACCTCCAATACACTGTAGTGAGTAATGACGTTGGCAAACTAAGATCGCTGAATGTTACAGCATTGATAAGGCACGCGGTCATCCTTTCTCCTACTGCAGCTCCTACTCGCTTGTTTTGGCAAATCCACTGGTCCGTGAGGGTCACTGATCTTCTCTCCTCTGCCCCCTTCAGTTCCTCCTGTCATCCGTGTGTACCCGGAGAGCCAGGCCAGGGAGCCCGGAGTGACCGCCAGCCTCAGGTGCCACGCCGAGGGTGTCCCGGACCCGCAGCTCGGCTGGCTGAAGAACGGGGTGGACATCACGCCCAAGCTGTCCAAGCAGCTCACCCTGCAAGGTGTCTTCTTCTTGTGTTTTTCACTCTTAGATCATCATGAAGAGCTTTGATGCTAAAATTTACAGCGTTTTACGTTATTCGGGACCAAAGAAAATGAATCTTAGTGACAACAGAATGTCATACATATGAAAAAAGGTTTTATCTAAGACATATTTGAAATAGTCCTTTAATACTTTAATACTCTAAGTAATGGCCTGTCATGATGATTAATTATGTCATTATTTAGGTTGTAAATAAAATATTAAATTATATATGTTTAAAGGACTCATGAATTATAGTAGATGTGCTGGACAGAATAATTGGACAGAAAGACATTTTTGAAGTTACTTTTTAAATATTTAAGTAAAATATGGATTTTAGAGGGCTTTAATAATATAGAATTTAAATGAATATTTTCCAGCATATTTTGTAAATGAATATATTTACAGGTAACTAAACACATGTATTTCCTTTAAAGATATTAATTTGATTCTACATATAAATATTCTGAAATTTTTAATGTTCTGATATGGCTATATTGTCTATATTACAACAATTATAGATTTTTAGAAAATAAAAATAACAAGATAATTTTTTAAGGCTAAATACTGAAGACAGTGCAAAAGCAATTACACATTATGGGCTGATTAAGCTATTAAATTTGCAAATCTGATTTGAGTTTTGATATAGCACACATGTCATTTCATTAAGCTCTTTGTTACATATTTGTTAGATTTCTTATGCTAGGTCTTTACATCCCTTCTATTCAAATTGTTAGTAATTGATATGTTTTTCATTATTTCTCTAAGCATAGGTTCCTGCATGATTTCACTTAAATGGTGAAAACGTTTAGTCATAAAACTTTTGAAATAAAATTCTTCTGAATTGTACTCACTTATCTTTGCTTGTCAGCAGTGCTGAGTCTGAAATACTCTTGATCTTTGCATTTTATGGTAATGTGTCCATTCATGAGTCAGGTGTTCCTTTAGCATTTGCATGTGAAATACTGTTGTAGTCACTAACTGAAAATCAGTGGCCAGTGTAGGACAATATGTGCATGAAGGGAAATAAAATCCCCAAACAGTGAAAATTATTTTAACCAGCAAATCAAGATAAATAGTGCAAAGAAGTTAAAAGTCAGCAAACAGACAAGTCACCAAGAGGTATCTCTGAGGAAGAAAAGATTAAAAAGGCGAAAGAGTTCCACAATGTTTGATGTGTGGAAAACATCAAAGAAAATCGTTAACATTTCCTTGTGGCATTTTAAAGCGTTCAGCAGCCTCCCTGTTTCATGGCATTAGAAATGAAAAGGAGGTAATAAGCACTTAGGAGACAAAGGAAAGCCAACAGGCAGTAGTTGCTTGTGTGCAGGATCAGACCCAGAGGGCAGGTTTCGGGGTGACTTATCTATCTTATCTGTTGTGAGCAAGTACCAGAAGAAAGGAGAGGGGAAGGGATGCAGAAAGCATCCTAGAAACTGGCAGAAAGGAGGAGAGATGTACGCAAAAGAAGCAAAAGAGAAACATCCTTGAGAAGTAAACAAGGATGAGGCTGGACAGGAAGCTTTGGGCCATCTTCTGATCATTTAGTTTATTCTGTGCTTTACAAAGGAGGTCCCTGCTGGGAGCGAGGCTGGTAATGCTCAGGGGGACTCCCCACACAGCTCAGATCCAAAGAAGGGTGGATTAGGATGTGAGAAAACAGAGTCTGATGGTAAAGGTCACATGAAGTGAACGCAGAGCAGCACTGACTGCCTGTGACCGCGAATCAGGATCAGACGTCCAGTAAGCTTGCTCCTGTCCTGTCCTGTGACTTCCTCAAAGTGCCTGCCCCAGGTACAGCAGGTGTGGGGAAGGTGAGATGGCTTCAGGAGGAGGAGAAGGGCTTCAGGCCACTGCTGGGGAGGGAAGCAGGAGTCCAGCAGAGGAGGGAAGGTTCCAGCGACACCAAACTGCAGGGAAGGAGAGGCAACAGCCACTCTGTGTGGGGAATGGAGAAGTATTGGAGACCACATTTGAAGGAGGAGTGTGTTGATTTTAAATTTCAGTAAAATTGTAAGAAACTTGGGTTAAGTGTGTAGATCTTGAAAGACAAGTTGTGGTCTTTGGTGGAAACCACATTTCATGTAAAACAAGAGGTTTTTTTTTTTTTTTTTTTTTTTTTGAGGCAGAGGTCTGTAAATTAAGGCTCCCACACCAAGTCTGGATAGTTATTTGTAAATGAAACCTTCAGTTTTCTAGGTTTTTCTGTTTGTTTTTATGGTTATTTTGTGTTTAGAGCACATCAACACTTATTTAATAACTTTGTGCGTAGCAGCTTTAATACTGAGATGGCAGAGTGACTGCCAAATAACTGCAGCCTACAGAACCTAAAGCACTCCTCTCTGGAGCTTTGTAATGAGACTGAATCTGAGACTCGCTTTGCTGTTTTGCAGTAGTGAGTCCCAGCAGAAGAGGGCGACCAAGCAGCTGTGCCGTGAGCATTTCTAAATGGAGACAGACTCAGGTCACTCAGGAGCTTACTCCTTCTCAGACAGACACTGCCTCCCACATAGCCTTGGAGGCCTGAGAGCCACTGGCCTTAAAGACACCTTGGTCTTCCCATTTGTTCTCTGTGCTCTCCCAGAGTCTAGGCGTCCCAGCTGCGTTGTGTTCATACTACCTCAATCAAGTGCCGGTCCATTTGCTTGTACCTAGTGATCTGATTGGGTGGGAATGTAGAGTACACACACACACACGTACACACACACACACACACACACACGCACGCACGCACGCACGCACGCACATTCGCGTACAGACACGTCCAGCAAAGCAGGCAGAGCAAGGGAAGTTGAGCATGTAGTCATTAACGCACAGAGCTTTCCAGTAAAAGTATCATCTCATCAAGATGTGCAATTGCAATTCCCCCTGTGGCCCTTTGGCCTCATGTCAGGCCCTCCAATTTCCATGGCATCACATTAGTTTAGTTTAGTTTAGTTTAGTTTAGGTTAGTTTAGTTTCTGGCCGAAAGGCAATTAGCAGTATGATCTCTCTCTCCCCTGTCATACTTCTAGATATGTACTGCTATCTCAGTAACACCCTTGTCAAATGACAAGGGTATTTTTGCATGATGGTGCTCACTTCATTTCTTATGGTAGTGTCTTGTACATGGATGCACAATATTTATGATTAAATTTCCAGGAAACTCAGCAAAAAGGGACTCTGAATAAAGGAACACACAACTTCTAGTTAACCCTGTGTAATTCTTCCTGGGGTGTGCGAAGTGGAGAGCGGCAGAGAAGACACTACAGTGGGCTTGGGTCAGGGAATGCAGGCACAGTGCACAGAACGCTTGAATGCCTGCCTCCAAAGGAGGAAAGGAGGGACAACAGCAGTCTAATAAGGACAGTCTCAGACAGCCGCTTGACTGTGTCACCTGAAAGCAGAGGACCAAAGCTGAAAGTGTCCTTTACAAGTTGCCTTTGCCTGTCTTCCCAGCCAATGGCAGTGAGGTTCACATCAGCAACGTGCGGTACGAAGACACCGGGGCGTACACGTGTGTTGCGAAGAATGAGGCGGGCGTGGATGAGGACATCTCTTCACTGTTTGTGGAAGACTCTGCTCGAAAGACCCGTATGTATTAAACTTTATGGCTCTTTAGATTATGATAGTCTATTCCAGATGTTCATAAAGCCATGGACTAGAAAACTGCAAAATGCACAGGGCATTAAAACAGTTTGTGAATTGAAATGTTCACTGTGGCAATGGAATAATTTAATTTATTTTTCCAAATGTGCATAATATGTTTCAGGTCCCACTTCCCATCTGCTCATGGAAGACTTTTAATTCCTTGAAAACTCTTTTTCCAAAAAATACCAAGGAAATTGAAGGCCCTCCACAAACATTTTGCGTTAGACGTAGTAAGGCCACACCTTTCTTTCATGGTCAGCTGTGTTGCTAGAAGCTGTCCTGTAGCCCTTTCCAGCAAGAAAGCACCAAGCCTCCTGCTCCACAAGGTGGCCCACTCCAGGGCTGTCCTTGGTTAGATGGTAGAAATCCCATACAGTTTGATTTTCTTCTGAAGTTATAAGAAAACACATGCAGTTTCTTTAAATGTTTAAATCATTTGCATATGACACCTACATATGTACCTACATAGGAAGCACGGACTGATGCCTCCTTTCTCACGTGTGTTGTAAATCATCAGAAAGGGTGCCTAGCATGCCTGTGGTTCTCTGCTTCTATCACTCGTGTGGATGGGTGTCTTCCAGTCCACTCCCGCAGCTGCTCTGAGATGTGACGTGCACTGCTGTTGATTATGTTCGCCCTGCCATGTGCTACAGTACCAGAAAATGACCCAGCCAGTATATTTCAGCTTCTGTTGGTTACTGTGGCTCAGGTTTATTTCAGTTGCCCAGCTGATTTCAGTTCCTGTGTCCTCTGCTCGAGGAAAGGGCTGGCCACTGTGTTGCACACTGTGAAGCCCATCTGCAGCCCACAACCCTCGCTCTCTGTTCTTCCACTCTGCTCCTCCATGAAGCCTCCCTCCCTGAGCCTCCGGTGCGATCCCAGTTGGGACACCAGCCTAACAAATTTGATTCTTATCGGAAAACCTCAGTGCTGCTTGGTTTTGGCCACAGCTTTAGTGCTACTCTACAACACAGGAACTTGGTGTGGAGGGGCTGGGTGCTGAGGGTGGACTGATCTGTGGATAGCTGCACCCTGCGGGGAAACACAGGGACTGTTCTTCGGCCTTTCTCATGGACTCCTGGGTACTGGTCTGGAACTGGATCGCTTCCCCTTGCCCTCCACTCTTCGGTTTGATTTGCTGTGCTTCAATCAATGTGCTTTAAAACTGTCAGACATTGTGGAAACATCTAGTGTGCCAGGCCTGTTGCTCTGCGCTTCGATTTTGAACAGGGTTAAACCAGTAGTTGTCCCAGAAGGCTTCTTATTTGCTCTAAATCAACAAGTGCAAATAGATATGGATAGGTCCAATGCAGACAACTTTGCCCAGATCCCAACCTTCAACATATTGTTACCTATATTTTGTCTGATTAGACTAAGGATCATCACAGGTAAACATGTAAAAGAAGTTTTAAGTTAGAAAAGGAAATCTGATTTAATGGCCTAAATAAGATCCAAGATAACTTTTTTATTCTGCTTTTGTATGAAGTGTGATAAAAAATACAGTGTTTCAGTTTAAAACAGGCATTGCCACTAATCTTTCTGGAATTATGCCCTCTCCTCAAGCACACCTAACCCTCCGACCTGGATGGGTTTTCCTGAGTGGGAAGTGATAAAAACATGGGGCTGCCTCGAGCGCCTCCAGGGGAAAGGCTCAAGGGATGGTAAAATCACTGCCATGTCCTTAGCTGGGTCCACACTGCCACCGTTCCATTCTGCCTAAATTGAAATGACCGTGAAAAGTAAAGTTACAGGGAGAGTGAAGACGCTGAGCAGACCTGGCAGTGCAGCTGAAGACAGCCAGGAAGCGGACTTCTGGGCTGCTCCCGGGAGTGGCAGAACTGCTGAGCGTGTTTGAAGCCAGGGAGAGAATTTGAGAGAGATTAATCGCAACACACCTTTATTGCAATTTTTTGTTTTTTAAATTTAAGCATTAGTGAATGCATCTGTTAATCACCCCTAATATTTCTACAAACTTGCAAATTTTTTTTGTTTTAAAGATTAATTTTAGGAAATAACTTCAGCTTTGTGCTTTATAATGATGTTTGTGAAACATTTTAATTTCAATTCTTTTCAAATTTTATATAGTCATCATTTTCTAAATATTTTCTAGTGACAATAAAAATATCTAACAATAATTTATTTTACTAGTGAGGTATACAACTATCCTACATGTAAAATCTAGTAAAATTTTAAGGAAAGGTTTAATAAAATTTTAATCATATACCTACATATAAAATGAGTTTGACAAATAGAAAGTGTTTGAAAATCATGTTTTCTTTTTAATTGACTGTATTTATTGTTTTAAACTCTTTAAGGTAAAACAATGTATTTAAATACTTTGTAGAGTTCCTGTGAAGAGCACACTGCTAGAACCCCACAGAACATTTTAGGGACCGTATCAATGACAACCCTGCCGTCATATTTACGTAACTTTCAGTGTGACCCTACAAAGGAGGAGCGGCAGAAGTGAAAGATTGTGGGGGTAGCTTTTCGGGCTGCAGGCACCATGTATAGATGGCACTTGGTGTTATCACCCTGCAACCTTCCCCAGCACGAGGAGTGGAAGCTCCTCAGGAGTAATCCTGAGGTCTCAGGTATCCCTAATTCACCTTATGATCCACTCTGCCTGGATATGCGGACACAGTTCTGGAGTGAGCAATAGCAAACTTTGCTTCTGATTTAAGTAAACAGCCTTAGGTTTGCTCATTTCCTGTCCTGTGTGTTTCTCAAGTCACTGAGGTTAAAGGGGCTAGTTTTAGAAAGTCATGTACATGATGAAAATCAAAACAATGTTAAGTAAACAAACTGAGAAGAACAACAGGAAATTCAGGAGAGCAGAGACTGAAAGTGTGGAGGATACAATATATCTCCAAGAACTGACCACTGGGAGAGGAAAGCATGAATTTTGCAGAAAGACAAGGATTGTAATAAACTAACAACTCTGTGATTTGGGACGTCCCATAGTGTCTCTGTTTACAGTTTATACATGGAGATTTATCTGCACAGTAGACATACATAGTTCTTTGGCTCAGACTTATTTTGTGAAACTAGTTAGTTATTCGAAGGTAGAAAGTTTAACATTTAAAATAATCTGGGAGACTTGATAATTACGGACATATGATCATGTGTAAGACATCTATAATATGTAAACAAGTATGTCATTTCTCACCACATTTGAAAAATAACTGACTCAATTAGTCATGATCATGCACATCTATAATCCCAGCACTCTGGAAGGCTGAGGCAGGCAGATCACAAGCTCTAGCATAGCTGGACAATTTAGCAACTTAGCAAGACCCTGTCATCTCAAAGTAAAAATTAAAATGGGCTGAGGAAATAGGTCAGTGCAAGGCTCTGGGTTGACACTCCAGTACCTAAATAAATAATAAATAAGTAAAAGTTCATCAGGGATACACATACTGTGCCTTATTAAGATATTTTTAGTGAATTCTCCTGCAGGCATTTGCTGTGCTGTAGACACAAAGCAAGCGCTACCCCTCAGTTCCCTTTTCAGTTTTCTCAAGCTATAGTCTTACATTTTGAAAATTGTCCCGCAGTGCACTTTCTTCCCTTAGCTTTTGGAAGCATAGAGAGAAGCCCTGAGTCATGTGTCTGCAGTGTAACAGCGGGGAGGGTTACAAGTTTTGCGGTAAAAATGGCAATGCACGCTCTGTTAGCGACAGCTCCACAGTAACCCTCCAGCTCTTTTCTCCACGGGTGGAGCACTGATCTGGTATGATCAGTTTTCTTGCAGTCGGTTCCCCGCAGTGTAATTCAGTGTGCAAAAGGACTCACGCTGCCCCTGGGAAGTGTGTGTGTCACCTCCACCTGAATCTGAAAGGGGGCTTTGAATCCTGGTGGCCTGGCTCTGTCTACAAACCCCACCGGAAGTCTCCTCACCTGACAAGGGGAAGCATCGCAATTGCACACTCTTCGCTGTGTTTAGAAGAGAATTTGATGGTTAAGGGTTCCTGGAGGCATAGATGGAGAGGACCTAGACCCAAAGCGCTGGAGAAAGGGGTCCTGGGCGCAGGGGAAGGCACAGAGGAGATGATGCTGGGGTGGAGCAGGCACTGGGGGAAACGCCAGGGACACCGCGGTGGGTGACACGTTTCCCGCCTCTGGGGCCAAGGATTCTCAGACTATAGTGCCTCATCTGCAGAATGAGGGCGGGGAAAAGGGGGTAGAGCAGAGGCTGCCACGGAAAGCTTCTAAATTCCCCTGTGCACTGTGCGCTGAGCGCGGACTGCGTGGTCTCCGCCCAGAATTCAGGAAGGAATGTGACCGGAATGTGTTGTCGGGGTGCAGCATACCGATTACTGTCACCTACAAGTCATAATAAACACCCGATAAGGTGCATATAGGTCTTTTATTTTATCGTTGTCAGCAGCATTGTAGTTGGAGAAGTTAGTCTATCGCAGTATTTTAGTATTAACTTTAATGAATTGATAGCAGACAACTACATTGCTGAAATTAGTGCTCCATTTTTCGTCATTGGTTAGTATGAAAATTTAATTTTAAATTCCTTAAATGAAGGCATTATTTTACTTTTTAAGCATAAAAATTATTTTATGTAAGTGGTGCCCAGTCACTCAGACACCCCTCAGTGAATGCTGCTTGTCCCCAGCGACCAGGATCAGTGACTCCGGGCCGGCCTTGCTCCTCTCCACGCAGATCACACTCTTGCTGGGCGCTCTCCTGAGGCTGGGGCTGGCCTGAGTGTCTCAGGCACTGCCTGCCTCCCCTTCTCCTGCCCTTGAGACAGTGGGCAATCATTTTCCTTACCCCGGGAAATTTTCCCTTCCCAGGGTTAATATTTGAGATAAGTTAAATCTTAAGGGTGGTTGCAAAGTGGACTATAAAAACATAATGCTCATGTAAGCTAGTGATTATTGTGAAACTGCAGTAAGTGCAATTCCCAACAGGGAGTTACAGATATAGGA